AGGAGCGGCAGACGGAGGCGCCAAGCCCGGCCCGCGAAATCTCGGACGGGGGCAAGCTGGCAAGCCTGAAGCAGGGGCAGGTCCCGCTGCGAACAGAAGAGGGAGATCGCGGCCCGGGGCTCCTCCTCCGCCCCCTCCTCCTTTTCGTCCTCGTCCTCGCCCCCCCCCTCATCGCCTTTCTCATCCTCCTTCTCCTCCACTTCCTCCTCCTTCGCCTCGTCGTCCTCTTCTTCTTATTCGCATGATTATTCTTTTCATTATTAGTAATATGATTCGCATTTGTATTGGTTATATTCTTAGTGTTGCTATTAGTGTTGTTCTTGTTACGTTACGTCCGCTTATCCTCATACTCATGGGTGGTTGTCGTAGTCTGTTTCTTTGGAGTGTTAATCGTATGCTCTGTCTTATTTGCAAGCTCTTGATGTATGGCTTCTCGTATTATTAAGTATATTGGTAGTGTTATGACCACTGCTATACGACTAGGACGACTATAAAATGAGAAAGCTGGGCCGTTTGTCCGTGAGTTTCTTAAGGGATTAAGGGAACGTTGGGCCACCTTTTGACGCCAAGAACGTACACTATTCATTTCCAATTCCGCTCACTACGACAATGACATGAACGGTTGAAATTAGCACGGGAACTCGTCTTGCATTATTCAATACGTGTCCCACTAGGTTTTCCCGTTGCATTACTGTTCCCGTAAGGCTTCTGTAATTTAATCGCCAAACAAATCGGAATATTCAAATCCATATTGCTCAACGTTCCCGGAAGCATGCTTCAATTAGTCAAATGAGCTAGATACGCCTGGTTCAAAAAACTAAGATTCCATGATACGCCTGGTTTACGAACTGACACAAATATGACCCAATAACAAAAACGCAGACAACTTATTAAACCAATGAAATCATCCGGCTCGGGCTCGGGCTAGGGCCCCGGGCTCGGGTTCGGGCGCAGGCTCGGGCTCGGGCTCCAGGCTCGGGCTCAGGGCTCAGAGTTCGGGCTCAAGGCTCATGGCTCGGGCTCCGGGTTCGGGCCCAGGGTTCGGGAAGACTCAGGGCTCAGAGCTCAAGGTTCGGGCTCGGGCTCGAACTTCGGGTTCGGGCGGCGGCTCGTGCACGTGCCTGGCTCGGGCTCAAGCTCCGGGCTCGGGCTCCGGCTCGAGCTCAGGACTCAGAGCTCCGGGCTCGGCATCCTGGTTCGGGCTGGAGGGCAATTAATCCATGCTCAAGTGAATGATAATTTAATTAACAATGACTTCATTCATGATTGATGATTTATCAATTAATGTATCAATTAGCTTATTTATCAATGGCGAATTATTAATGGATTATCATGGAATGGTTAATAATTAATCAATTGATTATTGACGTTCGATTCTGAGACGGAAGGTCCGGCGGATCAGAAACGAAAGCTGTGATATTGACACGATTGTCTCCCGCATGCCAGCCCTGCGCGGAGGGGGGCGAAACGTAAATGCACGATTTTGTATACCCAATGCCGTTGCGAACGGCATTCGCGGTCATCGGCCCTGCGCGGAGGGGAGCGACACCTAACTGCGCGATCTTGCGTGCCACATGCCGGCCCTGCGCGGAAGGAAGCGAAACAGAAATGCACGAGTTTGCGTGCCAGTTGCTGTTGCGAACAGTATTCGCGGTCAACGGCCCTGCGCGGAGGGACCAAACCGAAATGCACGACTCTGCCTCCCAAATGCCAGCCCTGCACGGAGGGGGGCGATACGCAGGAATACGCGATTTGTGTGCCAAATGCCGTTGCGAACGGCATTCGCGGTCATCGGCCCTGCACGGAAGGACGCACTCACACACACTCATGCCATGCGCCGGAGCGCGTGGGCGAAAGAAGACAATGCCAGCCACCTATCGCCGCTCAGCGCATAATTTACAACGTGCCCGGCAGGGGGTAGGGAGAGGGGGAAGAAGAGGAGGGGGAGGGGGGGGAGCGGGGAACAAAGCACTTTGGAACCCCCTTTCTCGAAACGACTTCCGCCCAACCCATTGACAAGGATTGATCGTCTGGAGGGCACTCGGTGGCCGGTCCTAAATTAGCAGCCTTACGGTCAGGCTTACCTGAACGGGCTCCTGAAGTCTCCATCTTGTCGCCCCCGCCCTGCCGCTTCCTCTTGGGAATATACTCCAAGGCCTGACTCGCTGAGGGCACGCAACCGGTTGATGAGGTCACGTCCTCCTCATCCACTGTACCACTCCCATTGACCCTCCCTATCGGAGTGTAGATCAAGTTGCCTGCGTTGCCTTTTTCCTTCCGCAGTTTGCCAGGTACACATATGAATCGCTTCTCCTTCCTGAGGTCTGACACCAGAAGCTCGAACACAATCTAATCATCATAGGACTCTATTCGTTCGAGTATGCCTTGAACTGTTTCTGAACGTTTCAACTCCTTACCTTGCTGAAGAAGCCGCTGCTCCGCGGCTTACTTCCTGGCACGTTCGAATCAGTCAGCGACCGCGGCATCCCTGGCCTCCTTTCTCTTGCGACGACCCTCGGCGCTGTAACCATGTATGCCGATTACCTTCATGCTCGCAAACCACCGCACACTCTCTCCCTCTCCAGTCGAAGACTCTTTGAAAGAGGGTGCGCGGATCGGAAGCATGGCTGGACACTTGTATGCCTTCTGCAAGGGTTCGTTCAAATCGGATATTGTGCAACCGGACGAGCCGATGTGCGCCAAGCTTTCCATCCTGAAGTCGTCGGTCGGGTTCATTTTCTTAACGACGTGCACGACAAGAGGAGTACGAAGTAAGCACCGCACAGAGAGGACAGACATCCTCTTGCCGCAGGTAAACAGTCCCACAGCGTACTGGTCGCAGCAACCTCAACCACCGGAACTGCACTTCCACTTGGAGGCTTCGCTTCGCAAGGGGTCTTATTTTTGAGTCCGTGAGGACCCCCTCCACTAACATCCGCCTTTCCACGCAGGGGTACGGACCCACTGAGACCCTACGGCCCCCAACGACAAGGCGCACGAGGTCATGACATGTCGCCTCCGGTGGACAATGGACGACAAGCCCTGGCAGACCGCTTCCCTTCCTTCAGTAAGTAATGCCCCGCGGGAGACACAACTGACCCCTTCCCGGATCCCAGGACTACACGATTCTTGCGTGCCAAATGCATGCGAAATGCTGGCCCTGCACGGAGGGAGCCGAAACCTAAATATACGATTTTGTGTGCCAAATGCCGTTGCGAACGGCATTCGCGGTCAACGGCCCTGCACAGAGTGGAATGACATCTAAATGCACGATGTTGTGTGCCAAATGCCCGCCCTGCGCGGATAGAAGCGAAACCTAAATACACGATTTAGTGTGCCAAATGCTGATGCGAACGGTATTCGCGGTCAACGGCCCTGCACGGAAGGAAAAGAAACCTAACTACACGGTTTTGTGTGCCAAATGCCGGCTCCGTACGGAAACAATAAACCTGAATACGCGATTTGTCGTGCCAAATGCTGTTGCGAACGGCCGACCCGCTTATTCCTGTTACCCCATCCGAGCCGGCATCGTCTTTATATTTTGTATAAAAAACTGGCGCGAACCGGAAAGGGAGGCTACCGATCCCCTTGAGAACTGAGCCAGCTGTCCGGCAAGTTGGTTAAGAAACGCTGGGCCAGCTTTTCGAGGGGAGGTTTCTCAAGCATACCATAGTAGTATACGTATGAGTAGTTGCATTGTCGTTCGTAAGCTTAGCATTAACAATGGTATTGTTATAAGTCGCGATTCGTATGCCTTGTACTATGATGGTTAGCCATATGATTACTAGCATATATGGTACTATGATTATTATCTATCCTCCTCCTCCTCCTCCACTTCTCCTCCTCCTCCTCCTCCTCCTCCTCCTCATCCCCCCTTCTCCTCCTCCTCCTCCTGTTCCTCCTCTTCCTCCTCGTCCTCCTCCTCCGCCTCCACCTCCTCCTCCTCCACATCCTCCTCCTCCTCCTCCTCATCCACCTCCTCATACTCCTCCTCCTCCTCCATGATTCCTTTTCCTGAAAAACAACTTCTCCTTGTCGCACCCCGAGGCCAATGTTTTAGAGCGGGCCGGGCGTTTCGCCTGAGACGTCTTCGCCACTTATGACCCTGAAGCTTAAAGAATTGGCAACAGCTTCACGGATTCAGGGCGGGTGGTGTTCAAAATGTGGCTCTCGCCTCAGCGCCGCGCACATTCGTTTTAAACAGTTGCAACAGTCTCACGGATTGAGGGCGGGTCGTTTTCAAAATGTGGCTCTCGCCTAAGCGCCGCGCACATTTTTAAAACAGCCGCAACAGTTTCACGCATCGATGGCGGATGGCTTTCAAAATGTGGCTCTCGCCTAAGCGCCGCGCGCATTCGTTTTAAACAGTTGCAAGAGTCTCACGGATTGAGGGTGTGGCTCTCGCCTTAGCGCCGAGCACATTCGTTATACAGCCTACAAGAGATTCACGGATTCTCATCATCAACGTACCAAGAATGGTGTTCGGAAGGATTCAGGATTCTGTGGGTGCAACAGTTACGTTGGTTCGCTGTGTGGTGAAGTCCCAAGAACGGCGTTCTGGCACGATTCAGGATCGTCAAGACGCAGCAATCAGGTTGATCCGTGGCGTTGGAATCCCGAGAACAATGTTTTGTCATGCTTCAGGGTCGTCGAACGGTTGTCTTCCAACGAGGCAGCTCCTTCAGTGGAAATGGCCGTTGTATGGGGCCCATGAAGAGGGAGCTTGGAGGGAGGGCTTGTTCCAACGTCGCAGATGCCCCTTGGGTTTCCACTGGCCCTCCTCCTCCTCATCCTCTTCCTCCTCCTCCTCCTCCTCCTCCTCCGCCTCCTCCTCCGCCTCCTCCTCCTCCTCCTCCTCATCCGCCTCCTCCTCCTCCTCCGCCTCCTCCTCCTCCCCCCCCTCCCCCTCGGCATAAAAAGGGGGCCCGCGCCGGCTCCCCCAAACTCTCCGCCGCACTCGGCGGCCCCCGCCCCCCCCCCCCCCCGACGCGCGGTCGCTCCGCCAGCAGCACGGCGCGGGCTGCCGTGGCCCAGCTCCAGCTGGCGTCGCTCTCCTCCTTCGCGAGGCGGGCGCGGCGCGCCGCCGCCCCCAGAGGGGGGCCAGGGGCGCGCACAGAAGGGGGCACGGATCCCAGGAGGCGTCCTACTCAGTGGAGGCCAGGTCCACAAGAAACCTGCCAGAAGAAGCCCAGCCCTGAGACCCCAGGATGTCCATGGATTTTCTGGTGGGGGGACGTCACGCTTTCCACAGCAAAACCCTCGAGACCCAGGAAACCAAGGCCGCCCTGGCGGCAAGCAGGGTGCTTCTTGGCATGGGTCTCCACTGTATGTCCCATATGGCGCGTTCCAAGCAGGGCCTTGCCTTCGAGGATCGAAGGAGCTGTCATCTCTTCCGCGGCGGAAGGGCGGCGGAAGTAAAACGAGGCCGCCACCGCCGGCGGAAGCCGACGGAAGGGCAGCGAAGGTGGCGGAAGTGAAGAATGCACCCCCAAAAGATCCGCCGCCCCCTGTTGATTCATCACAGGGGTGCCTGGCGTGCCAGACTATTACGGTGTTGGTTTTGTTTTTTTAACTAAAAGAACTCCCCCTGGGGCTCCGGCGCGTCCCGCCGGGGTCCCGGGAGGATTGCCAAAGACCTCAATTCCCCAATTTCCTGCCCAAGACGGCTCCAAAAATGGCCGTTTCGCTTGGGACGTCCTCAAACAATCGTGAAGATGGCCCAAGATGGCCTCCAAGTCCGCCCAAGATGGTCCAAGACGGCCTCCAAGACGGCCCAAGAGAGTCCAAGACGGCCCAAGAGGCCCCCCCAGAGGCCTCCAAGACGGCCCAAGAGGCCTCCAAGAGGGCCTCCATGAAGGCCCGAAAAAGCTAAAATCATTGATTTTCCATTGGTTTTTGAAGGATTGTGGCATTTGCTTTTTTTCTGCCTTCCGACGGCCCGATACGGCCCAAATGCCCCCAAAGATCGCCCAAGAGGCCCAAGACACGGCCCCAAGAGGCCCCCAAGACGGCCCAAGAGGTCTCCAAGACGCCCAAGATGGCCTCCAAGACGGTCCAAGAGCCCTCCAAGACGTCCTCCAAGAAGGCCCGAAAGGGTCAAAATGGCCTCCAGACGGCCAAGATGACAAGATGACGTGTTCCCCGAAGGCTTTCCAAACCGATTCGGGGAACACATGGTCCGATAGCTTGGCAGGTCTGGCCTCAACGTTCGGCCACATAGGCGCTTCCAAAAAGGCAGGGGGCGGCGGTGATTCGCCGTAGGCGTCTTCGATGAAAACGTTTTTGGGTTCAGGGATTCCGAAATCCGCCATATGAGAGACGATCTGAAACAGGCCTTGCGCGAGATGACGTAGCGACCTTACGCCGAAGCTTGCGCGGGCCGCCAGCGCGGCATGCCATAGTGGAGACGAAAAGAAAACGGCGATCACGCGCGACCCTACGCGGGCAGCTTACGCGCCAATGTCGGCGCAGACGACGCCGTGTTTTTGTGTCGCTCATTTGTTCTGGACGTTTGCTGTCCCCTCCACTCCCCTCGGCCCCCTCCGAAGGGGCTCAAGGACACACACACACACACACACTTACTTTTTACAAGCGCGAAGAAGCCCATCCGCCCGCGCGCTCCGGCGAACTCGCCGAAGCGCGAATTAGCCTGTCGACACTGGCCGCTGAATGAGGCTCCGCGCCACGTCGCCGTCACCCCCTCCCTCCCGTAGATGAACCAAAAAATGGAACCATTGACTCCGCTCCCCCGTCCTCATAATGAGGCGCCGCGCCGTGTCGCCGTCGCCCCCCTCCCTCCCGTAGATGACCAAAAAGTGGAACCCTTGACTCGACAGAAACAATGGGCCCCCCAGGGCCTCCGCTAGGCCCGGCCCAGCTATGAATCTGTGGGCAGACGAGGGGGGGTGGGGACGAACACGGGGTCGAATACGAAGGGGTGATACCTTTTTGTCCCCTCACCGTCGCCCCCTCTGAAGGGGCCCAGGCACACACACACATCAATGGACACAAGTCCCAAGATCTCCCATACTCTCCATATTTTCTGGACGTTCGTCCTCCCCTCCACTTCACATAGTTTCCACATGTTCCTGGGGATCGACAACTGTTTGTCTGATTGTGTGAAGTGAAGATCCCCCCTGACCCTTCTGGATCCGGCCATAGCTGCACGGCGTAAGCTGCGGCGCAAGGTCGCCACTGCACCCTCCTGATCCTTCGCGTGGCCCTTCGGCGGCCATCGCGAAGGGTCGGTTTCCCTGCTGCAGATTTTCCGACTAAGAACTGTGTCGGAAAAGCACCCCAATCGATGTGAACAAATATGGGTGACATTTCCACCACAGGAAAAAATGGCGGATGTGGCCGCAAAAAGTATTGCGGCTTCAACAGCGACGGGAAAAAAAACTGCAGAAATAGGCACCAGAAGAGCTTGAAAAGTAGGGCGGGAAATGACGCCCTACTTACGAAATCGTCCAAAACACGGCCGATCCGCAGTCAGGGTCCAGACACCATGCATGCAGTTGTTCAGTATGTGTTGGATGTGTTGAGGCATATGTAGAACATTTCTGCTGTCGTGTATAATCAATGTAAACATCGTGACTGTTTTAATCATGACTTGTTCTGAACACTACTGTGGTGTTGGGTCGTCATTTTGAATACGCATCGCCCCGCGTCCTCCTTTCCTCTCCTCCTCCCCCTCCTCCCTCCTCCTCCTCCTCCTCCTCCTCCTCCTCCTCCTCCTCCACCCTCCCATACCTGCCTGTGCCCTCCGCATGTCCATTTCGGCACCCCCCTCACTCGCTTCGTGGCCCTAGAGGGAGCCCCACCGAAGGCCTCAGTGCCTGCATTCGCATGGCGGCCCCGTGCCCGATTCGGTACACCCCTCGCACGCTTCGTGGCCCCATTGAGAGCTCCGCCAGGCCCCATGTATACTTGCATCATCATGAAATTGGGGGAAAGCGCTGTTTACGGAAACGTGGGGCTATTGAGTTGTACTGGGCGCCATTTGCCGATATACGTTCAACCCACGACGAGCGGAAGCGTCGGTGATTCACAATCTAACTCCAGGTCCCCCCCACCAGGCTTTCTTGGCGGCGCGCGCAAGGCGGTAGGGGGGGGGGGGGAAGGCTTCTTAGAAGCAGGCTGCTTCTTAGCAAGGCCCGGCCTTACCATCTGCTTCTGGGAAGCAGGGGCGCTTCTAAGAATCCTTTCCCCCCTCCTCCATCGCCCCCTCTGTGCGTGGCCGATCTCTTCGACGAGCGCTATCCCCCAGGGTGGGGGACGGGGTCCAGCGAGCGGGCGGGCGGCGCCCCGCCGTACGCGGCCGCTCTCTCGACAGCGCCAGCCGCAGCTGGACCATCGGGGGGCCGTCTGCACGCAGCCTCGGGAAGCCCTGCACCAGATCTTGCCAGATCTGACCTCTACAGATACTGAGGACCCCGCCCCACCCCCATAGTTGGAGGCTAATTCTCCCCTGTCGACGACCTTGGTGACGGCTTGGGGCCCACCGATCATGAACAATAGCTATTTCTCCGCGGCACCCGCCGCGGAACAACGACAGCGGAGGAGGGGGGGAGGAGGAAGAGAAGGAGGAGGAGGAGGAGGAGGAGGAGGAGAAAAGCAGGAGGAGAGACGGAGTTCAGTCCCCACCGAGAGAAACAGGGGGGGAGTCCTCAAAACTAAAGACCTACCTCGGTTAGGTTTCCTCCCCTTGCCCTGGCGGGGCTCCTTCACCTCCTTCAATACATAGGAAAAGTGATGTCACTCCGAGCGCTTTCTGAAACTATAATCCAAATATACGAACATATTACGGAAAAAAGAAGCTCCAAGCAAACGCCCATGGTCCAGTCTAGATTCCTGATTTTCTTCCACGTAATCCAGAGTCCATGAACTTGGACGCTTTGTCCCAAGATTTCTGATGGGTGCTAACGGAGATATGCTGCCTGCGCCAATCCAGAGCCAGGTCAGCCGGGCCTTACAGGACCCTGCAAGACCATGCAAGATCCCACAGGATCCTGCACACAAGCCTGGGCAAGATCCCGCAGGATCCTGTAAGACCCGGCGCCCTGACGGACCCCCGTCTGCATGGACCCCCCGTCTCTTGTCCACTCCCCCGCTGCTCCAACTTTTCGATGTGTGGGCCCTGGAGGTCCGGACCGCCGTCGCATTACGTCGAGCAAGCGCAAGGAACCGAGCCCCCCCGTGGAGCCCCGTTCCTTAGACCGTCCGCCCCGACCGAAAAAACGAACCCGCGCGTCCAAAGTCGTAAGGAACACCGGGGGGGCTCGCCGCCAAAAAGGTAGCGGAACGCATGCAAATCTAAGGAACGACCGAGCCCCTTTTGAAAAGTAAGTGTTCCTTACTCAAGGCTTTCACTGTAGGGCAAGTTTCTCGTCCCGAGTCTTCTTGTTGACGCGCCCCCAGAGGCCGACAAGGGCAACAAAAAACCGCCAGCTCCCATTTTTCGGCGGGTCGGGCCTCCAGGAGCCTGTTTTCCTTTTAGACTCAGGCGCGCTTGCTTGCATGGCGTTCGCCCCCCCCCCCCCCCCTCGGCTCTATTCGAACGAACACTAGCGTGCAAGTGCATTTCGACTTGCATGACTTCCGCACGCGCAAGTCGTTTGCGGCTTGCTTCAGGCTCAGGCCCCTCCGTCCATGAAAGCGAACTTGCTGGAGGGGTCAATGCAAACGGGGTTCAGTCAGAACGCTGGATCTCGCAGGGTCCTGCAGAGCCAGGGTCCCATTGCCCCGAGTTTGGCTGCAGGATCCTGCAAGGCCTGACTGACCCTAATGTGGATTGCCCCGGGTCGGCCCCGGGTGTGGATTGCCCCGGTGTGGATTCCGCACGTGCAAATCATCTGCGGCTTGCTTCAGGTTCAGGCCCCTCCTCACCCGCCCATGCGGGTGAACTTGCCAGAATCCAAAAACAGGCTCTAGGCAGAACTTCCCAGACCCCCGAAGCCATGACATTTTCATTTCGTCGACCCCTGGAGGCCTCGACCCATTCCCGGGGACCAATTTCTCATCCCGAGTCGTTTTTTGACAGTCCCGAGGGCCGGTAAGGGCACCCGTGCCGAAAATAGTGAAAAACCTCCCGTCATGATTTTAGTCACTACCCGAGGGGGTCTGGGACACAGGCTCTATAGGCAGATCTTTGTCCCCTCCCCCTGCCCCGGCCGGGCTCCCCCTCCCCCTCCCCTCCTCCCCCTCCCCCTCCTCCTCCTCCTCCTCCTCCTCCTCTCCTCCTCCTCCTCCTCCTCCTCCTCCTCATGCCCTCCTCCTCCTCCTCCTCCTCCTCCTCCTCCTCCTCCTCCTCCTCCTCCTCCTCCCCCCTCCCCTGGGCCCCCGCGGGGCTCCTTCATCTCCTCCAGCACGCCCACCGCCAGGCCGGGCGGCAGGCGGGCGCGCAGCTCCTCGGCCGCCGGCCGCCCCCGCCCTTCGCCCCGCCCACCGCCGTCGTCTGCGGCGGCGGCGTCGTCGTCGTCGTCGCCGCCACCGTCGTCGTCGTCGTCGTCGACGTCGTCGTCGTCGTCGTTGTTGTCCTCGTCGACGTCGTCGTCGTCGTCGTCGTCGTCGGCTGCGGATGCTCCTCGCTGGCTCGGGGAGCCCGCGGGGGTAAGGTACAGCAATCCGTGTTTCGCACTCTGGCCACTGGAAATACGACAACGTTCAGATGACGTGACTGCTGACTTGCCCGAGCGATCGGCCGGGGTCTCCGTGAGCACCGACTGCAGCTAGCTCCCCACGGCCCTACCAGGGCAGCCGCTCGGGATTCGTTGCTGCAGAGCGTACGTGGATCACATCAGGCATATAACAGTTTGGAACACAACACGTACATACACATCGCTCTGCAACCACGTGGACGCGCTCAATGTTTCAAAAGTACAGCTGAGGAAAGGACTGTGCACACGCACGCGCGTATGGGGACAAGAGGCCAGGGGGGAAGGGAGAGGAGGGAGAGCAAGGGGGAGGATGGGGAACGCAAATCTGCGACGATGTGGTTTGGTTCAATCCTGGCGTGCTTCCTCGATTTCGGCCTACCCGGCCCCAGAACCACCAAAAAACGGATCCGGCGCAAAAACCTACCCAACATTCTTCCTAGACTTCAACCTACCCGGCCCTGGTACCATCGAGAATGGATCCGGGAAGAAAAACTGCCCCCGGTGAAGGGGCCGGGAGCTCTGGAAAGCGCCGTGTGTGCATCAACTACTCCGAAGACGTCCCGTACGGCGCCAGCGGGAATTGCCACCTCCCCCCAAGTACACTCTCAAGAATAGACGGGAGGGAAGGAGGAGGAGAAGGAGGAGGGGAAGAGACATCGACATCAAAGTGCGACATGAGTGAATGCGACGAGACCCCGTCGAACTCGGCGGCAGGGGCAAGAGGACCCTCGTCCTCTCCCTTGCCGAGGGCCAGAGAAACCCTCCTCAGAGACGAATGGCCATCCGATGGCTAGCCGCGAGGCCGCTCGGTTCCGACAGGAGGGGAAGGGAGGCGAGGGGGGAGGAGATACGGGACATTGGGCGTTGCATCATTGGGGGGGCGATTTATGGGGTGGAAGGGAGGTGCACTTCTCGGGCCCCAAGCGCCTCCCGTTGGGCCCTAACGGGCCTCTGCAGGGGCCCTCAAGGGCTCCTCTTCTGCAGCCCTCTCTGCCCCCCCCCCCCTCCTCATTGCTCGCCCCCCACTTGCGCGTCGCCCCATGGAGGCTGCGCCCGTGCCCTGCCTGGGAGCGCGGCCCCCTGCGGGGGGGCCCAAGCGGTGGGTGTGAAAGGCGAGCTGGAGGCGCTCCGCCGTGCCCGGCCCCCTGCCCCATCCCGCCCGTCCCCCCCTCGCCGTCGCTCGGACGTCCATGTCCCGTGCCTGTGTCGGTCTCGTGCGTGTTTTTTGTTTTTTTGCTCGATGGTCCAGGATGGTCCTCGATGGTTCTCGCCGAGAAAAAATGCGCACGTCCGAGCGATGCCAAGTCCCTTCCCGATGCGATGAATCCGTGTCTGTCCGCCGACAAGGGAGTCCTGCGCCCTCGGGGGTATTCCTCCAGACGCGACACCAGCGCCCGCAGAACAATCGGAAGACATCTGCATACCAATTACACCCTGAATGCTGTTACGCCCCAGACACATACATGCTGGTGCGGCCCAGCCTTCCCTTGCCCATGTAAAAAGGTTGATGATCAAAGGACCACTGCGGGGGGATTTTGATCATCCACACCTTAAGAGGAAAGTGGATGAAGCCTGGATGAAGCATCGATGGAGCCTAATCTCATGAAGGAAGGCATATGGAGCCTGGTTTGGGGCGTTTCGCTCGGGACATGCCTGGATCGGGCCCAGGTTGCGCATGGTTTGGCTGGGCGCCCCGCCTGAGACATCTTCAACACTTCCTGGTTGGGGACCTGGTTCGGCATGGTGGGGGAGCCAGTTTCGCCCGAGACGTCCTCACACATTGCTTGGCGTGGCGTGGTTTCGGCGCGGTGTCGCTTGGAAGGACATCGCAATTCAGCTGGTGTGGCTTGATTTCGGCGCGGGTTCGCCAGAGACATCCTTACGATGTCTTTGGTCTCGCTTGTTTGGGGCGCGCTTTCGCACGAGAGCATGTTGCGAGTCGCCTGGTTTGGCAAGGGTGTCGCTTGAAACGTCGTCAAAACGCGCGATGTGTTTTGATTCAAGTGGGCTTCGCCAACAACGTCCTCATAATTAGCGTGGCTTGACATGGTCCAGGCGGTAAACAAAGGCAAACATAATCTGCCACCGGGCCGTGTGCCCGCTGGGGCGTGTTAGAATGCTCGTCTGTTGTCTGGAAGTGTTTTCAATTTTCTAGGGCCGCCCTTCCCCCCACCCTCCCTCGCCGCGCGCATGCCTTGAGAATCGTCCCCACTGAGTTTGCCTTACGGCTCCCTTTTCGGCGTCCAGGTGGCCAAGATGGCCTCCAAGACGTCTTCCAAGACAACCCAGATGACATCAAGAAGGCCCAAGATGGCCGTTGACGGCTCAAGAGGCTCCCAAGACGGCCTCAAGAAGGCCCAAGAGGCCCGCAAGTCGGCCCAAGAGGACTCCAAGACGGCCCAAGGGGGCTCCAAGAGGCCCTCCAATAGAGTCCGAGGAGGCCGAAACGAACGAGTTTCCCTAGGCCCTCGATGTAGTTTGAAGTTCTCGCGGTTTCCGACTGCCCAAGACGGGAGGGCCGCCAAGATAGTCCCAAGACAGCCGAGAGACCTCCAACAGGCCCCAAATCGGCCCACGAGGTCCCAAAGATCGCCGAATGGACTCCCAAGAGAGCCCCAAGACGGCCCTGAAGTGCTGCAAGAGGGCTCCCAGATGGCCCAAAGAGGCTCCAGAGACAGCCTCCGAAGGCGTCACCTGAGACAGCCGGAGAAGCCCCCAAGAAGCCCCTAAGATGTCCGAGGAGGCCCCCAAGAGGCCCCCAAGAGGCCCCTAAGAGGCCCTCAGGAGGCTCCCAGGATGCCCCAAGAGGGCCTGGCAGAATGCTACGACACCCCAGCAGAAGGGCCCGCAAGGTCTCTTGCGGGGCCGCCTGCACTGCCAGAGAGCGCCTCCCATTCAAGGAGGCCGCCCCGTTCTGCCAGGGACGCGTTTCTCTGATGTCGGCTCGCCCGCGCTGCTCACCCGTGCTATAGGTGGACCCAACACTTTGGGCTACGAGACGATGAAACATCGTTTCACCGACCCTCCTACCCCATGGGCGTGGCCTGGGCCCCACTGGCCGAATTACACCCCCCCCCCTGGATGGGGACATGGGCCGTTTCCTTCGGGCTTCGAGGGGCACATCCCCAGACATCCGGCTGCTCCAAGTCTTGTCGACGCAGCGGCCCAGAAGGACCGGACCACTTCCCCAGGGCCGGTTGTTCGTCCTGAGCCGCTGTCTGACGCTCCCGAGGCCCGGCGAGGGCCCCCGGAGGCCGCAAACGGCCCAGAACCGCCCGCTCCGATTTTGTCGGGGCGCCGCACCTCTGGGCATCCCCAACTGAGATGAGATGGGGGGGGTTGGGCTGGGGATGCGGATGGGGGTGCACGGTTTCCCCCGGGGCCGTAGGCGACCCGAGGAGGAGCGGGAGGAGAAGGAGGAGGAGGAGGAGGAGGAGGAGGAGAAGGAGGAGGAGGATGAGGAGGAGGAGGAGGAGGGAGTGGGGGATACCCACCCCGAAAAGAGGCCCCCTAGATGGGGTCCGAGTAGGTGGGGTCGAAGGATCGCGCCGCATCACCGATACATCGCCGATGCATCGGCGATGCATCGGCGACGTCGGCGATGCATCGGCGTCGGCGTGGAGGAAATCGGACCCCTCATCGAGCCGCATCGGCGATGCATCGGCGATGCATCGGCGATGAGGGCAAGATCCTTCAATCCCATCTACTCCGACCCCATCTAGGAGGCCTAGACTTGAGCAGGAACCGACCGTTCCGGCATTCCTATAGACCTACCCCGAAATTGTCTTAGAACCCTAAAGCGTTTTCATAGCACAAACAATATTCTTAGAACACAAACTCGATGTGTTAAAACAAAACTGCCCCAGCCAGAAATGCTCCGAGAACAAACCACAAAAGCAACATTGTTTGGTAGGCCTATATAGCACGCCGGGACGCTTCGCCTCTGCTTGATTCTTCTACATGCAGAAACTCCCGATCAGCCACAGAGCGAGCGGCCGGCTGGGGGAGGAGGGTGAGGAGGAGGAGGAGGAGGAGGAGGAGGAAGAAACGGAGGAGGAGGAGGGGGGGAGGAGGAGGAGGAGGAGGAGGAGGAGGAGGAGGAGGAGGAGGAGGAGGAGGAGGAGGAGGAGGAGGAGGAGGAGGAGGAGGAGGAGGAGGAGGAGGGGAGGAGGAGGAGGAGGAGGAGGAGGAGGAGGAGGAGGAGGAGGAGGACGGGTCGCCTGAGCCCTTCGGAGCAACCCCGTCTGGGAGGCCCAGGCCGAAGCGGCCTCGGCCTCAGGCCCTCGGCCCAGCTGCCAGGCGGAGACGGCCTAGGCCGGGCGGAGGGCCAGAGGCCCGCGCGGCGGCCGCAGGGCGCTCGCGGGGAGGGGCCAGCTACACGCCCCGAGGCAAGCGCACGCGGGGGCGCAGGAACCCTGAGATCCGAGGAAGTTTACAAAAATCACGACGGCGGTTTTTCCCAGAGTTCGGCCCCCAGGGGGCTCGCGCCGGGCCTCGGGAGCGTCGAAAAACGACTCAGGATGACAAACCGGTCCCAGGGAATGGGTTCAGACTCCAAGGAAGGGTCGACGTCGTGGCGGGGTTCGGGGTCCATGGATCTGGCGCGCGGTCGCCAAATCCACGGATCCGGGGAGGATCCGGTGCCGCCTCGTTCGGCGGCGGGGATCCGCGATATCTGAAGGGGCCCTGGCACACACAAATGAATACCCACAAATAGAAGGATTCCCCATATTTCCCCATATTTTCTGGAATATTGTCCTCCCCCTCACTTCCCATATTTTCGCATATTTTCTGGGGAATCGACGATTACTTGTGTCTGTGCGTTTTTCCCCTCCTGCATATCCCCTGGAAGCGGGACCCGTCGCTGAGCCACGCCCCCTTCCTTGGTCCATGTCTGCGATTGCCTGGCTCGTGCGCGGGGGGGGGGGGGGGGTCGTCCCGTCGGTGGGCCCCCGCTCGGGTCGGGGGCCCGGCCGGGGGAGGGGTGGGGGACGGGCCGGCCTCCTCGGAGGGCACCGTGTGTCCCAGGCCCCCTCGGGCCATGAGAAGAGCACGGCGGAGGGCCGTTCGCCATGGTCGGCCTCTGGGGGCCCTTAAGCCGGGCCTCGGCAGCGTTATTTTTCTTTGTGCTCTGCACTTTAATGTTGAGTTGGCAATTCGTGGCTAATCTAGCTGGCATCAAATACGCAATGCCGTTTGCCTAGTATGCCTTTGAAGCAAACGAGCATCTCGTATAGTCTAGAGCCGAGGAAATCCGAGTTCATTGCAGAAAGCGACCCGGGATGGAAAACTGGTCCCGGGGAGGGGGTGCAGACCTCGGCAGGCATGGCGTGCGCCCCCCCCCCGCCCCTCGCACATCCTCAGATCGAGCACTGGCGTGCGAGTGCCTCTCGACTCGCTTGCGTAACTTCCGCACATGCAAGTCGTTGGCGGCTCTGCTTCAGGTTCAGGCCCCTCCTCCCCCGCCCAGGCAAGTAAACCTGCTGGGGCCCAAAGAACAGGCTCCAAGGCATCCGATCTCCCTGCGCCGTCCTTGCGGGAGCGGAGCGAGCCCGAAAGCCGGGCTCACCCCGTGCCCCCGCTCCTGGGGGCACTGCCACACTTCGACGGCCTCCTGGCAGATCTCGAGCAGGTTCCTCTCCTGGTCCAGCTCTCCTTCCAGGGAGGGAGGTTGATGAGGAAGAAGGAAAATAAGGACAGGGTGAGGGAGGAGAGGGAGAGGGAGGAGAGGGCGAGGGCGAGGGAGAGGGAGGGGGAGGGAGAGAAAGACCTGCCAAAGTTTGATAGTTATGTCGCTTCTCCTTCTCGAATATCATTGGGTCAGCCGCGGGCCACGGATTTCTCTGGTTCGACTATCGTCGGGCCAGCCGCGGGGAACGGAGGGGGAGGTGCTGCTGTTCGCAAACGCTGCGTCTGCCCGCGCCGGGCGAGCAGGGAAGGGCGGGGCACCGCGACCGTGGCCAGCTCGGGGTTGCCTCCCGTCCGAGAGGTGCTGGCCCGGGCACGGGGGAGGCGAGCAAAGGCCGGGGGCGAAGACCGTCTCAAGCGACGCCTCCCGCGCGGGCTCCGAAAAACCGCCCTCGGGTCGCAGATGCCCTGCGCGCGCCGCTGGAGCACAGCACCCTGCCACCACCTGCGAGCCGCGGAAGCGAGCCGATGCCGCAGTTGACCGAGCTCGGGAGCGGCGGCGGCGGCGGGCTCTCTCCAGGACGCACGAAAGCACTCGAAGGCCATGGATCCAAACGGGGGGAGCTGGGGCGGCCATTGCAGGGAGAGCGAGGGAGAGGCGGAAGGAGGGGGTAGGAGTGGCAGGGAGGCGAGGGAGGAAGAAACGAAGGGATGGAGGAGGGAGGGCAGCGAGAGGAGAGGGGGTCACTGGAGCAGAGAAGCCCTTCCTCCTCCAGTGACCCCCACCCCTCCTCTCCCTTCCTCCTCCTCCTCCTCCTCCTCCTCCTCAGGAGCTCCTCCTCCTCCTCCTCCTCCCCCTCCCCCCTCACCAGATGCACTTCTAGCGTTTCTGGCACAGGGGCTGGTGCGGAGGCGAGCGGCGAAAACAAGTGGCTGTGTTATTTCAAACTGGTACCGTCGGGAGGGCGCCTCCGAATAAAAGAGTTGCTGATATCTTCTGTGCTGACGAAACCCTGGACGGGGGGAGACAACACCATTCCAGAAACCATCACCGTCCAGACATCCGAAAACTCAGGCATTATGCCGACTCTCATTTTTTACAGAGCCACGATTCCGTAGAAACGACTCGGGCCCAGATACCGCAGCCGCAAACCCACACCCAACAACCGAATGAAAACAATCTCTCAAACTCTGAGGGAAGACTATCCGCCAATCGA